GCTCGAGCCAGAGCCTTTCGGCACCGCCGCGGGGTGGGAGGCGATCCTGGAGGACAACGACCGCGCACATCGCGAGCTCGAGCGCTGCAGGTTCGAGCTGCAGGACCCGAAGAAGAAGAAGCAACTGCATAAGCATGACTGTTTGGCGCTTCGCGCGGATTTCTTGGATCGGCGTGGGGCCCCCCTGGCAGCGCCTCTGGCGCCGCCCTTGGCGCGCTCCGCGCGCCAAGGAGGGGGTCCCGCGCTGATCCAGGAAATCCGCGCGAGCATCCGAAAGAGTATTTCTATATATCCGTAAGGGCTTCGCCCCCTGCCGCCGGCCCCCTCTCTCGGAGAATGGGCCATGGAAGAGCTAAGTCATGAGGCCTTGGCGCTGTCGTGAAGCAGTATCGAAACTTCATGCGAAGCCGAGTCGCAATCAGCAAAACCAACTGATCACAAGAGGGGTTACCACACCTGGCGATTGGTAAGACGTGTATGGTTTAAGGGCTTGGTTACCACACCTTGCGATGAAAGGGCCGAGGGAGTTCTCGCAGTTTGGGTTACCACGCCTTGCGATGGATGTGCGTGATGGGTTCGAATTTCAGAAATGTGGCAAATCCCTGTGTTTTTGGACCCTGACCCCGCGGATCTGCGTGAGGGGTGGCACCGAATTTCAGAAATGTGGCAAATCCCCTGTGTTTTTGGACCCTGACCCCGCGGATCTGCGTGAGGGGTGGCACCGAATTTCAGAAATGTGGCAAATCCCCTGTGTTTTTGGACCCTGACCCCGCGGATCTGCGTGAGGGGTGGCACCGAATTTCAGAAATGTGGCAAATCCCCTGTGTTTTTGGACCCTGACCCCGCGGATCTGCGTGAGGGGTGGCACCGAATTTCAGAAATGTGGCAAATCCCATGTGTTTTTGGACCCTGACCCCGCGGATCTGCGTGAGGGGTGTCGATTTCGAGCCCCCCCAGTAATTCAGACAACGCGCCCAGGGGACGCTGGAAAATCCTGTTTGGGCCTCCCCCCCCCTCGCGCGGTCAATCAACTAGTTACAGTAACCAGCAAGAAGTCAACTAGTTACAGTAACCAGCAAGAAGCAGAACTGTAACACTGGAAACTAGAAACTACAACTGGCACAGGAAACTGCGAATCACGCGCCTCGCAGCCTGGTGGCCCCACAAGGGGGCCAGCAGATTTCTTTGCTCCTCTAAGGACTGCCGCATGGAGCTGGAGGAGAGCAGGGGTGTCACGGAGCGCCTGCGGGCGAGGGTGGCGGAGTTGGAGCTGCAGGTGAAGCTCGGCAGCGCCCAGCTGTCGGAGAAGCAGTCGACCCCGGGCTTCGGGGACGTCTGGCGACGAGGCCTATACGTATCCACCGCTCGTGGCCAGGCCCATCCTGGGCCCAGAAGCTCTGGGCCTCCCAATTGGCGTCGAAGTAGATGAGGATCGCAACGTATCGCCGATGCGGCTCGATGTGGAGCCCGATGTTCTTCACGCCGACGTCGTCGATGCGTCGTCGACGTCGCCGATGCATCGCCGACGCATCGGCGATGTGGCGCGATCCTCCGGCCCTATCTATTCGGACCCCTCGCGGGAGGCGTCCAGGAGAGGAACGCATGCCTCCCTGACCAAGCCAGGAGGGCGACCCGCTCCTGGGCCCGGGAGGGGCCTGGCCAGGGGCGGTGGATGTACGTGCACGGCTCTCGCCGCCCTCGAGGACGAGGACCACTTCGCGATCGAGCTGGCGGACGTGGCCTCGCCCTCTGCCCGGAGGATGGCCGCGCCCGCCTCGGAGGGCTGGCCTCTGGAGCCCGCCGGCGGCTTCGAGGAGCTGCGCGCGGCGGGGTCGAGGCGAGCGGGCAGGGCCACTCGCTCTGCCCCCGGCCCTCGATGCCTGCTTGCGCATCACCGCAGCATGCCTAGGCACCGGGCATCGCTCGGGCGTGTGCGCCTTCGGCGAGGACCATCGAGGAGCAGCTTGGAGCACCCTGCGACAAGTCAGTGCACGCACGAATTCGAAAAATGCAGGGGCAATGGGCGCCCGAGCGACGGCAAGGGCATGGCCATGTGGATGTATAGGCATGCCACTGCTGATGGCTAGGCATCCGCACGGGCATGCCTGCGCATGCATCGGTGGTTGCGTCCATTGCCGTAGCTGGACGCACCTGGGCGCAGCATGTGCCCAGGCATCGACCTGTTGATGCCCGGGCATCGGGCTGGCGGTGCCTGCGGGCATCGGCAGGACAGCACGCAGGGCAGGCATCGACGGCCCAAGATGCCTGAGCCAGTGGGCAGTGCCAAGGCTGCTGGCAGGGCCGCCCCTCCTTGGCGTGGGCGGCGCCTCCGAGACCGGGGAAGCGCGCACCCTGGCCGAAGCTCTGGGCGGGGAGGCGCAGCTGCGCGAGGAGCGGGCGCTGGGCGGCGCCGTCCGGGCCGAGGTCCGGCGCGGGTTCGCCGACGCGCTGGCCGCTGGCGCGCTGGAGCGCGCCCTGGCGCCGGAGAGCACCGAGGCGGCGCCGCAGGCCTCGCCCGACGCTCGCCCGCGCGAGGCCTCCGCGCGGCGGCCGTCCACCGAAGCGGAGGGCGGCAGTGTGCCGGAGCGTCCCCAGGCGGCGCTGCCCAGCGGCAGCGGTCCGCCCGGGGGCTCCGCGGCCTCGGCGGAGGGGCGGCTCGCAGAGGGCCAGGCCAGGGAGCTCCTCGGGCAGGACGCCCTGGACGAGGGCCTCCAGCAGCGGCTGGCGCAGGTCGCAGCCAGCGAGGAGACTCGAAGAAGAACACGAATGAGTAAGCATGAGCCTGTCGCAGGTCTGCACGGATCTCTTGGATAGGCGCTGCCCCCTTCCCCGGTTCTCTGGCGCGCGGAGCGCGCCACGCGCGGCGCCGGAAGCGCCGCCAGGGGGGAGACCCAGCGCCGACACACGGGACCCGCGCGGAGCTCAGAGTTTCTGCTCGTGCCGCCCGCTCCCCGCCGTCGTCGGCCGCCAGCGCCGCCGCCGCCATCATCGCCGCCACCGCCGCCGCCGCAGCCGCCGTCGTCGTCGCCATCCTCCTCCGCCGCCGCCGCCGTTCTCTTCGCCTCCTCCACCCGACCCTCCGCCCTCTTGGAGGAGACGGCCTACAGGGCCGCCCTGGGCGAGTGCGAGCGGCGAAGAGCGGCGCTGGCCGCCGCCGTGTCCGCCGAGCTGGCGCGCGCGGGCCGCCTCGGCCCCGCGCGCCAGCCGCGGCCTGGAGCGGCGCCGCGCCCGGGCGCGGGCGCTGCGAGGGCCGCCGCCGCAGGCGGCAGCACGGCCCAGCCCGGCCCCCGCGAGCTGCTGGAGCGGAAGGGCTCAAAGGTCGACCGACGGTCGTCGATCGTCGTCGATCGTCGTCATCATCTTCGATCGTCGTCGTCGATCGTCGTCGTCGTCGCCGATCGCCGTCGTCGATCGTCGTCGTCGTCGTCGTCGTCGTCGTCGTCGTCGTCGTCGTCGTCGTCGTTGTCCTCGTCATCGTCCTCGTAGTCGTCGCCGCCGCCGCCGCCGCCGCCGCCGCCGCCGTCGTCGTCGTCGTCGTCGTCGTCGTCGTCGTCGTCGTCGTCGTCGTCGTTTTTGTGTCGAGGTTCGGCCCTCTGTGACCATCGCTTGGCCCCAGGGCCGTCAAAGAACTGCCCGCGATGAGAAAGACTGGCCCCAGGGAGAGGGTCGGGTATCGGACGGGGCCAGGACGAGGATAGCTATACCCGTTCCGGACCATTCCGGGACACTCTGAGAAGGCCGTGGCGCCCGAGACATCCAGAGCCGCCAGATTTCAGCGATGCGCGATGTATCCTCGTCCAGATTTGTCCTTGTCCTGGCCTCGTCTTCGCATAGAGGAAATATTAGCAGGTCGTGGGTGGCGTCGGTCGCCACGAAGCAAGCAGCTATTATAGAGGGGCTCGGGCCCTGAGGCCTTCCAGGCGCCCCTCGGGCCCTCCCTGCAGGCAAGGCGCTGAGGTACAGTGGGAGCCCATGCCAAGAAACACCCTGCTTGCCTCCAGGGTGCCCTGGGTTTCTTGGGGCTCGATGGTTCTGCGATGGAAGCGTGACGTTCCCACACCAAAAATGCATGGACGTCCTGGGGCTTCTGGGCTGGGTTTCTTGTGGAAGGTTTCTCGTGGGCTGGCGCCCACTGTGAGAGCCACTGCTGGCCCTCGGGCCGTTCCTCGGACCTGGGTCGCGGAGCCCAGCTGTGGCCGGGGCTCGCCGTGGTCGGGAAGAGAGCCCACCGGCTCCTTGCTCGGCGCTCCCTGCTCCTGGCCGGGAGAGACCCGGCAGTGCCTGACTCGCGGCCTGGGCTCGCCATTCGCCCTCGGCAGCGCTCGCCGTGGCCCTGCAGAGAAAACAGCGCACGGCACCGAAGAGCGCACAGGGGAAATGGACGGCCGAGCGGCGGCAGGTAGCACGAGGGCTGCACTCCCTCCCCAGGCCCAGGGGGGCTGTCAGGGAGAGCGGCTCGGGACGGAGAGCTGGTGCGTATTCGGAGGGAGGCCCAGGCCTGGGCCGAGGAGCCCTTTCCCTCGGGGCCCGCCTCCTACGCGAAGGAAGGGAGGCGGGGCTGCTCTCCCAGGGGTGGGGGTGCAGCCTCCCTCCCTGCGTGTGCTTCTCTTTCGCTCTCTCTCTCTCTCTCTCTCTCTCTCTCTCTCTCGCTCTCTAGAGAAGAGTACGTGGACAGCAGCATGCGGCTCTCTCTTTCTTTCTTTCTTTCTCTCTTTCTTTCTTTCTCTCTCTCTCTGTCTCCCTCTGTGGACAGCATGCGGCAACATGCGCATCAGACATCTGCGCGAGAGGGTCCGGGTCAGGAGCACCTCCAGGGCCGGGGCGGCGCCGTCTTCGGCGAGATGGAGCGCCGCTGCCGGCGGCTGCAGCAGGAGCTGGCCGAGCAGAGTGCGCTCGCGCCAGGCCCGCCGGGCGGCGCGGCGGGCGACGCGCCCCTGGTCTGCGAGCTGCGCCGCGAGTGCGAGCGCCTGCGCGAGGACGCAGAGGAGGAAGACCCATGAGCTGAAGATGTTTCCACTCGAACACATAACGCGCGTTATGCGGCCTCCAACCCACCCACCCACCCAATAGATAACAGAACGCCCTCCGCTTCACCCACTCCCGTTGCAGCAGCGCCTGCTGTTATAGCAAGCAGGTATGCTGCTCGCAGTGCGCGCGCAACGTGTTATGTGATGTGCCAGCGAACCCACCCACCCACCCACCCATCCACATACTGTGGGGGCCAGACCTTGGATTCTTTATCCAAGGGGTTCTTATCCAACGCCCTCACCGTAACGCGCGTTATGTGTTTCCAAAACAGCTTGAGCTCCAGACCTGCTCGCGCCCTGAGGAAAAAATCACCCGGGCGGGGGCGCTTATGGTCGCTGGGTTCGGCCGCCGGGGGCACTCGCCAGGCCCTGGGACCGTCAGCAGAACGACTCGGGAGGATCAGGGGCAACGATAGGGGGGGATGTATCGACCCCCAATCGCCCATTTGATCGCCGATAAGAGCCCGATAGCCCCAACCCGCCCAGTAAGGTGCGGATTTACTATCGGATGCCTATCGCCGATCTATCGGCGATGTATCGCCGATTCCAGGTCGATGCATCCCCCCCTATGCCAGTCCCCCCTATCGTTGCCCCTCAGAGGAGAGACGGGCCTTGGGGAAGGGGTCGGGACGACACATGGAGAGGACATCGCATGTCTTCAGAAAGGCAATGTTTGGGTTGGGAGGATGGGGTTTGGGAGGAATCATCCGATCGTCGCGTGTTATCGCATACGTTGCCTGTGTTTAGTACACGGTCGTGCCCTGCATCTACCCAACCCCTACTTCCCAACACGATAACTGTCTTTATCAATGTCTCGCTTTCGCCGCTTTGGTCCTCCCAGGAGGCCCTCGTCGCCAAGGCCGGACTTGCCGTGAAATGCTTGCCAGAGGGCACGCCCGGGAGAGGCCCCCAGAGTGAAGCCATGTATCGGTAGGTCTTTGGATCATTTGATTGCGGATCTTTCTAGTCGCGACCGACGATTTGCGGCGTGGAGAGAGGGGTAGGGAGACGGGGGGAATGCTTCTTAGAATCACCCCTGCTCCCTTAAAAGGCGCAGGCCTTGTCTGTAGAATGTAGGGCTGGCGCCTTCTAAGAATCAGCCTCCATCTAAGGAGCATTCCCCCCTCCCCCTCCCCCTTGCGTGCGCCGCTACAGATCATTGGATTCCAGATTCTTCAGGTCGCGTCCGACGGGATCGGTCGCTGCCTGGTAGTCGACGAGAGAGCGCCTGGAAGTCGACGAGATAGCGCCGACTCAGCAATGATCAGTGTCGATTAGTATCGACTCAGCGTCGACTAGCCTCGACTAGCGTCGACCAGCGCCGATTCGCAAGAGACAGCAATATGGCACGGGAGGCTCCTGGGAGCTCCCGCAGAAAATGTTCGATTGCTCCCGAACGAACCAGGAACCAGTCCTGCAGAAATTCCCGGCAGCCTCCTCTTCTGTGGAAGCTCCCGGGCAACCCCCAAACGGTGGGACTCCCGAGAACCCCATCGAGCCCCATCTTTTGGGACTGGCCCCAGAAGATGTCCGTTTGCTGGGGCCCACCCAGCAGACCTGCTCGACGCCAGCTCGACCCCTGCTCGGTTCCAGCTCGGCTCCAGCTCGGCTCGGCTGGGAGGCCCCCCAGCGGGGCTGCCACCGACGGGTCTCCTTTGCACCGCTCGGACGTGTGTGCATTAGTTTGTCCTCGGCGAGGCGGCATCCTGGATCATCGAGCCAACAAAAAAAACGCGCACGATATCGGCACGTGCACGGGAAGTGGACTCGAAGGAAAAAGCGCCATGAACATAAACTTTTGGCGCTCCGCGCGGATTTCTTGGATCCGCGCTGGGCCCCCCGGCGGCGCCTCCGGCGCCGCCCCTGGCGCTCTCCGCGCGCCATGGAGGGGCGTCCAGCGCGGATCCAAGGAACCCGCGCGGAGTGCCCAAAGTTAATGTTCATCGCGTTTGTTGCTTCTTGTTCTTCGCGTTCGTCTTCTTATTATTCTTCCTAGTATTACGATTGTTCTTAGTATGATTCTTCTTATTTAAGTTATTGTTTTGTGTTTCTTCTTATTCATTTCCTTGGTCGGATTATTGTGCTTCTTTTTCCCCACATCCTGAGTGGGGTTCTTGTTTTCCCAAAACACCCTCTCCTTCCCACCCACCTCCCGCTCCATCTTCCATACAGCACAATATTATTCCTACCACACACACCATACCATACCATAGTTCCTACCACACATACCATACCATACCATACCATACCATACCACACCATACGTACCATACCGTACCATACCATGGCGTACCATAGCATACCATGGCGTACCGCCTGAGCGAGGAGGGTATCGGAATACCATACTATTTACATGGTTTCGTGCCCCTCCCACCCCTCCAGGGAGGCCCCGCCTGAGCGAGGAGGGTATCGGAATACCATACTATTTACATGGTTTCGTGCCCCTCCCACCCCTCCAGGGAGGCCCCGCCTGAGCGAGGAGGGTATCGGAATACCATACTATTTACATGGTTTCGTGCCCCTCCCACCCCTCCAGGGAGGCCCCGCCTGAGCGAGGAGGGTATCGGAATACCATACTATTTACATGGTTTCGTGCCCCTCCCACCCCTCCAGGGAGGCCCCGCCTGAGCGAGGAGGGTATCGGAATACCATACTATTTACATGGTTTCGTGCCCCTCCCACCCCTCCAGGGAGGCCCCGCCTGAGCGAGGAGGGTATCGGAATACCATACTATTTACATGGTTTCGTGCCCCTCCCACCCCTCCAGGGAGGCCCCGCCTGAGCGAGGAGGGTATCGGAATACCATACTATTTACATGGTTTCGTGCCCCTCCCACCCCTCCAGGGAGGCCCCGCCTGAGCGAGGAGGGTATCGGAATACCATACTATTTACATGGTTTCGTGCCCCTCCCACCCCTCCAGGGAGGCCCCGCCTGAGCGAGGAGGGTATCGGAATACCATACTATTTACATGGTTTCGTGCCCCTCCCACCCCTCCAGGGAGGCCCCGCCTGAGCGAGGAGGGTATCGGAATACCATACTATTTACATGGTTTCGTGCCCCTCCCACCCCTCCAGGGAGGCCCCGCCTGAGCGAGGAGGGTATCGGAATACCATACTATTTACATGGTTTCGTGCCCCTCCCACCCCTCCAGGGAGGCCCCGCCTGAGCGAGGAGGGTATCGGAATACCATACTATTTACATGGTTTCGTGCCCCTCCCACCCCTCCAGGGAGGCCCCGCCTGAGCGAGGAGGGTATCGGAATACCATACTATTTACATGGTTTCGTGCCCCTCCCACCCCTCCAGGGAGGCCCGCCTGAGCGAGGAGGGTATCGGAATACCATACTATTTACATGGTTTCGTGCCCCTCCCACCCCTCCTGCGTCGCGAGGAGGGCATCAAGAAAATGGGTCCCACGAAACCGTTAATCTCTTTATGTGGGGAACTCCGTTAGCATAATTTTATGTTTTAAGTATTGTTGTTTTCCTTCTTCTATGGGCGCTCGCGAGCGCGCTGGCGGGCCTCTGCCCCCTAATTCGAGGACCTCGCGGGCGCGGTGCTGGCGGAGCGGCGGGCCTCTCTCGAGGCACGGCGGCGCGCGCGCAGGGAGGGCCAGCGGGCGGTGGGTGGGGGAAGTCCGGGGCGAGTGGCCCAGGCCACAGGAGGAGGAGGAGGAGGAGGAGGAGGAAGGAGGGAGGAGGAGGAAGGAGGAGGAGGAAGGAGGAGGAGGACGGGGGCGAGGCCCTGCTCCCCCCCCCCCCCCCCCCCCTCCTCGCGGCGTGACGAAAGCACGGCGCGGACGGCTCCGCCTTCCTTCGATGCGCGGCGAGCGAGGGGGGAGGGACAGGAGGAGGAGGAGGAGGAGGAGAGGAGGAGGAGGAAGGAGGAGAGGGAGGAGGAGGAGGCAGGAGGAGGAGGACGAAGGAGGAGGAGGAGGAGGAGGAAGCAGGAAGGAGGGAGGAGGAGGAAGGAGGAAGGAGGACTGAGGAAGAGACAGGAGGAGGAGGAGGAGGAGGAGGAGGAGGAGGAGGAGGAGGAGGAGGAGGAGCCTCCCCCCCCCCTGGGGGGGAAAGGGGGGGAAATGATAAGGACAAATGGGCTTCTCAGAAGGCGGCGGGAATCCTCAGGAGCCCTCGCGCCTTCTGGGGGAGTGTTCTGTGGCTTCGGGGACGGCTCGGGAGGCTTGTCAGGAGGCCGCGGGACTCCCGAGCCTTCTGAGAGGGCCCGCCCCTTCCCACTTCCCCCCCCCCCGGGCTCGCCGCCAACTCGAGGGGGCGCAAACATTGATTCGGGCGCGTGGCTTAACGTCGGGTCCCGTTTCCATGCAGCATCGGCGCGCACCGTCGCCAGATCAGGCGGCGGCGCTGGCGCCATGCTTCGGGGGTCGCTGTCCCGATCCACGGGTCTGGAGCCGACGCGCCAGGTCCACGGACACTCAATCCGTGATTTCGCGTCTGGCCGAGCAGTTTAGGTCGATACCGGCCCCCGGAGAGTCACACCAATTGCTTCGGGTGGGAAAAACGCTGGGTCACAAAAATGGCTTCGGCCCCGGGGAATTGGTCGAAAACTTTGGGTGTCGGGCATGTCCCGCGGGAGGTGTTTGGCCGTTTGCGGCCTCCGGGGGCTCTCGCCAGGCCCCCAGGGCCGTCAGAAAATCGACTCGGGATGAACAACGGGTCCTGGGTGGGGAATGGGTTGGGATTTGACAAAGGGACCCCGTACTGAAAGAACATCTGGCTCCGAGAGCCGAAGAAGACAAAAGGCATGAGCATGAAGGTTCGGTGGTCCGCGCGGATTTTCCGGATCTGCGCCAGTCCCCCCTATCAGCGCTTCGGCGCCGCCCTCGGCGCGCGCGGACCTCCGAAAGCGTGTGTTGCTGCAGTTGTTCTGCCTCAAGAGAAGGCTCATCAGAGGGAGGGAGGGCCTCCGAGAAGCCCCCCCTCCGCCTTCCTCTCCTCAGTCGACGCCTTGCT